TCAGTTAAAACGTGTTCAGAGAGGACTTGCTCTGAGCGGGACAGTATGGTGCTCTTCCTTACACCCGAAGAAAAGTAAGTTTGTAAGAGAATTCTGAACTCCTTTCCCTTTTAGTGGACACATTCTAGTTCCAGTCCATGACTTTTTGCTCTGCTTTTTCACAAGTTAGTGGTACATTGTGTTTTGTAAACCCACAATTATGTGTGTGAGTTGTTTATTTTTATTCAAATTCTTATCGACTTCTTTAGATATTTAAAACAGAAGCAATATATTGTTGCAAGTATAATCTAGATGATGTATAATAATATTTGATCCATAGCTTTTTTTTTTTCCCCAAAAAGGACATCTTTTTTAAGGAATGACAACAATGTGTTTTTTACATAGATCCAATGGTACAGATTTCATACTGAATAATTAGTGTTTATTGGCAGTGCTGTAACTATTCAGTATTATGTATTGCATTAGTCTTGGCCCTCTGAGAAGCAAATGCCAAGATAGCAATAGACGGTTAAGATATTTGTTGGGTGAAATACCTGCCTGGGAAAGTGGGTAGGGAAATCGATGAGGCTGGGAGAGCCATCAGATTAAAATGGAGGTGTGACCCCTGAGAAGGAGAGAGGGAGGGAAGGAGGAGAGGTCTTGGACTGCAGTGCAAGTTCTGAGGAAGTTTTAGCAGGTTTGGGAGAGAGGCCTGCCCAGGGATCCCTGGTGCACTCAGTCATTGGCTGGGCGCAGCCTGAGGGGGGCGTGGCCTCGGCATGAACACGTGGGTGGAATCACAGCCAACACGATCTGAGAGGGCCTTCTCATGGCTGTGTGTAGGTGGATATTAGACTGCTCAATGTGCTGAATGTGTGCCTAATCATGGGATACATTAAATCTAACCCAAGGTAGAGGAATAGAGGAAAACAAATGTTATATTTCTACAGAGACAAAAAGTTATGTTAATTCCATGACCCGTTTTATCTCTGTACTGATATATCTATTTTTAGGCCCTAAGATGAAGTTATAAATTAAATAGAATGTAGGAACTTGGTTTACATATAGCATGGTCACCAGAGAGTGTGCCTTAAATGAAAAAAAATTATGTACTGGGCTTTGTTTAAGGAAAGCTGTTTCCTCACACAAAGGTGAGGAAAGGTTTTGAGTATTCTAGGAAAAAAAACAAAAAGGCTTTGGAAAGAAAACTATTGTGTTTTGAAGATAACATTTGGAAACTATCTTGAACATGATGCTTAGAGTGAGACTTTCTGAAGAAAAATAGTTCTGTTATGCATTCTGGATCAGAGGCCTTGTTGTTACGAGGGTGAGCTACAAAGTTATATTGGTCTTTGATGTAGCCATTTTTACTGGGATCAGAACCTCAGTGTTCTGGAAGAGCATTATTTTTTGATATAAAAGAGCATGGTCTAAGCGGTTGTCATCTCTGAGCATGTCTTGCTACACTAGAGTGACTGACTTGGTGGCTTGTTTGCCACACTTATTCTCTCCAGTACTGGCAAAGCACAGATTCCCTTTCCCTTTTGAGCGATCAGGCTCATTTCCTCTTCTCTTAGCCTTTTGCACAACATTAGGAATCTTGTTTCAAATGATGGCTGATGGCTGTTGGGCTTTTGCAAATGAGATATAAAGTTGGGCATAGATGTTAGGATCAAAGTGTATTTTTTAGCACTTTCTTTAAAATAGTTTATCTTATTAGTGTATATTTATAGTTTAAAATATTACATGCTTGTTATTTTAATGAGGTGGAAAGTGGGAATTAGGATGAGAAGAATTAGACAAGAAAGTGGACTCACAGAGAACGGATGAGTGGCGTTGATGCGTGTTTGGACTTGGCCTAAAGATGGTTTGTGTCTGGTCCCAACCTCTCGCACAGCTGGGCCTGGCCCGAGTGCCGGGAACAGGGGCCCTGTGGCATCCCGGCATGATCCCCGGGACGCTGTCATAGGACGTGTGCCAAAACCTCAGCCTTCTCTATAAATGAGCCATAAATCCGTAGGGGTAAGAGACAGCAAATTCAGTAAGAAACCACAAGAACAGAAATCAGAAAACAAGACTAGACTAAGAAGGTTTGAAGGAGAGTATGGTTATCAGAGTGGTTGGGTTTTATCTTGTCATGTCATTCTGGGCAATGGTATGGCCTGAATGTTTGTGTCCCCCCAAATTCTATGTTGAAATCCTAATAGTAGAGGTGATGGTATTAGGAGGTGGGGCATTTGGGGGTGATTAGGTCATGAGGGTGGAGAACTTATGAATGGGATTAGTGCCCTTATAAGAGAGACCCCAGAGAGCTCCTTTGCCCCTTCCACCATGTGTAGTTACTAAAGTACAACCATCTTAGAAGTGGGCCCTCAACCAGGCACTGAATCTGCCAGCACTTTGATCTGAGAATTCCCAGCCTCCCGAACTGTGAGAAACAAATTTCTATTGTGTGTAAGCCAGGCAGTTTATGGTATTTTGTTACAGCAGCCTGAATGCATTAAGACAAGCAAGAATAGAGCTATGAAAGGTACTTAGGACTAAGTAAGTCTACTAAGGTAGACTACTGGAAAAACAGGCGCCCCTTTTTAAAATTATGGCTTTATTGAGATATAATTCACGTTCCATACAATTCCTCCATTAAAGTGTACAATTCAATGGTTTTTAGCATACTCACAGAGTGAATTCACAAGGTGCACCTGTTGCCACAATTAATTCTGCATTTCATCTCCCGAGTGGAACTCATGTGCATTAGCCATCATTCTCATTTCTTCCCCATTCCCTCAGCCTTGGGCAACCAGCAATCTACTATCTTTTTTTGTGGATTTGCCTACTCTAGACATTTTATGTAAATGGAATTGTATAGGTTGTGCTGTTTTGTGTCTGGCTTCTTTCACTTAGCATGATGTTTTCAAGGTCCATCCTCATTGTGGTTTGTATCAGTACTTCATCCCTTTTTATTGTTGAATGATATTCTATTATATGGACACATCACATTTATTTCTTCATTCATCAGTTGATAGACATTTGGATTATTTCCTTCTGGGCTCTTATCAATAATTCAAAAAAGTTGCTGTAAACATGTTTTTGTGTAGACATTTTTATTTCTCATGGGTATATACCTAGCTGTGGAATTGCAGGCTCAGTATTTAACCTTTGATAACTCTATGTTTAACCTTTTGAGAAATTCTGGACTTTTTTTCAAAGATAAATGATCTTTTTAAATTATTATTTTATCATTACACAATGTAAACATTTTTCATGACCCTTTACCAATTTCTCCCTAACTCTCCTTTCCTCTCCCCCTTTCCCACCTCTGGTATGTGTATGTAAGTATGTGGGTTGGTTTCTGAGTTCTCTGTTCTGTTCCATTGGTCCAAATGTCTTTTTATGCCAGTACCATGCTGCTTTGGTTACTATAGCTTTGTAGTATAAATTGAAGTCAGGTAGTATAATGCATCTGGCTTTATTTATTTATTTTTTTGCTCAGGATGTTTGATGACTTTAAAAAATTAATATTGGTGTTATTTTTTTAAATTTTTAAATATTTATTTTTTTGCTCAGGATGTTTGATGACTTTAAAAAATTAATATTGGTGTTATTTTTTAAAATTTTTAAATTTTTTTTTCCTTTTTGTCTTTTTTACTGACCGGTAACGGTATCGCAACCCTCGGTGTCGCGCCCATACCGGGGACCGGCAATGGGATCGCAACCCTCGGTGTTGTGCCCGCACCGCGCTCAGCCGGTGAGCGGGAACTGGTCTTCACATGGGATCCGAACCCTTGGTGGGAGCGCCGCCGCGCTCCCAAGCGGCGCACTCTCCAG